ATAAGGAAATAAGTTACTGTTAGAAACAGATCTTTTATTTTTGATCTTAGACGCATTTGCGTCTTCACCAAATACTTTAGTTCAAAGTGGCCCAAAATCAGCTTTTGTACCCTTGTTTTACATTTTTTTAATAAGCTGAGATCTTGGCTTTTTGTGACATGACTAAAACGTTGATGAACCTAGAGAAAACTTTTAAATAATTCTCGAAGCACACCTTACAAGTGTCACAGTTTTCGACAGCTGAGTTATACAGTTAGAAGGTCATCAGATGAACTGAATGTTAGGCCTTGAATGTCAAAAGGGTCTGACTGTGATACGAGTCCTTAAACTACTATTATGTTATGAACATAAAGAAGTTGCTCATTATTATGGAAAATACGAAACTGAAGAAGACGTCAGTTGGAGAAGGGAATGAAAAAATCATTTTTTATCTATAATTTTACAAGGGATTAACTAAGAAAGGGCGACACAGCAGCAGAAGCTGAAAGAAAATAACAATTTTTTATTTCAATTCCTTGTAATACTAGAAGTTTTTTCTTAGGTTGGGTGTGGAATTTTAAAAACGGTTTGACTGCTCTAATAGGGCAGAAAAGGGAACCAAAAAGTTAGAACAGATGTACTGAAGATCAATAAAGTCAGCTAGAACTCAGTCAGCACTTGGTTCATTTTCAACTGCTCCAGAGAGAAGTGACTGCAGGATATCGTCTTGACACACAGTGGTCGAAGTAGTGTTAGAGGTGCAAACAGTCAAGGCACGAAAGATTTAAGAACACGGTCCCCTAAAATCTTGAAGTGTTGGTTAAATGTATTGAATTTGTTTATTGTACACTGTTGCACATCGGACGAATGGTATATCAACGCATGTAAACTTCTGGTTATCTGAATACTGCAGGAACGCTTTAAAGCCAGAACAATGCGAGTACAAATATTTTACAGTAAAGGCAATTCTAGGAATCTGCCTTTTTTAAAAACCATATTAGGGAACGAAGTTATGATTAATATATTGACTCTCATAACCACTCAGCAGCGACTTATAGCGCATGCAAAAAAATTTGCTTATGAATAATTTATGTGCTACGTTGAAAGTAAAGCTTTACTAAATCTTTTATAAAAGAATTAGAAACGGTTCGTCAGCATAGTAAGAGAATCAACTGCAGACACTGTTGTTTTCTGTTCATTAATTTTGTGGACAGCGGATGCTTATACAGTTTGAAGGCCTCGCATCATTTGTGACAAACCTCAGATGACGACTATTGGAATAAGCAGGTTCCATAAGCAGTTGTCAATTTAAAGTTTTAGAACTTCGGTGACTGTTTGGTCTTGGGTTTTACAGAACTGCTGATGAACACTTCTAGTAAACTATCAATAACAGTTCGTGCTTAGAATTCAATAATGTACGTCCCCCAAAACGTCTTTCGGAAATTTAAAGCCTTAATTGACTTCAAAATGTAACCCCTTTGTGACCTTGTAAAAAGAAAAAAAAATCTCTCACGGTGTCGCAGTCATCAGTAAGGTGTTGAATACCAGTGCAACGTTGGCAACATCTGCTGGAGATCACCTTGCAAGCGGTTAGCACTGATTTTTCACCTCAGCAGTTTGGAAAGACTGATCTAACCATGCAACTCTTTTTCGGCGAAAAAATCGGCTAGAACTTATCTTGTTGAATTTATTTAGCGATTCTACAAATGCAAAACAAGGCCGTTTTTATTTTATCTCTCAAAAGCTGCAAAGCATCAACACACCGAACGCATCAAAAATTTACGAACTTAGTTACAATATAGGAAAACAGGAGGAATAAAAACACAATGACCATTATAAGTTAACTTGTATGCCAAGAACAAAAATTCTGCGAAACTTCTGATCATACTACTCCAACAACAACAAAAACAACAAAAACAACAACAATAATAACCGCAACAACAACAACAAAATGCACTCAGCCGACACAACAAACACGTTAATATTAAACCACCTTTGGCAGGATTGGCATTTTGTTGCGGTACATAAAATGTTTCTCAATTACACTGATTCCTGAACATAATTTCTAAGTTAACAAGTAATCCCAGTAAAACTGTAGTGATAAAAACAGCTCTTCTTCCTCTAAACAAAATTTTCTACAACACCGTTCGGAAAAATGTATCCTTCTACTCTGTTTTTATTATACAGTCCCTAAATCATTTGATACCTCTAAAAAGATATTTTCCTTCGTTTGGTAGAATTAACCCTTCAAGTTTATGTTAATGTTAAATGTGTCCTTTCGTATTTTTTTTTTTTTAGAAAAAGTTATAACAGTCAGCTTTTTAACGTTTCTGTCATACAACTCGTAAAAATTTTTCCTGTATAATAAACGCAAAATTCTGAAAAGGTTCATAAAATGGTGGATGACATTGTTCAAGAAATTTCAACTGACATATTTCCAATTAATGCAGGCTACTCACTCGCAGTTGTGAAGTGCTGTTTTGTGCACATCATTTTTCTGAAGCTGCCCAGCTAAGAACTTGAGAAATCCTCAAAACCTGATTGCTTATGCACGCGAGATTTAAAAAAAACCCTTAACCATCCAAAACCTGTGCACAAGTACCCGCAACACTCACATCATCATACCCTCGACATTGTTGTTCTGCTTTGATAGACATCCTTAAAAACACTAAAAATTCTTCGTCCAAAGAAATTTGCAGCCTTTTTATTTTTTGAGCTACCTTCTCACCAAAAATCTGTAAGTTTCAGCAGTAGGAATAAGCTAATTTTGAACGACATCTTCAGTTTGAGACTTTTCAGTTCTCAATAAATTTCAAAAAAATAGAAAGGTTTGAATATACAAATCATTCTTCATACAACCTTATGGCTTACTTCTCACCTATAAAAAATAATCAGTCCCTCACCTTCTGCAACAGTACTTCTCAAACTCAAGACTTAATCAAACAACATAAAAGACTTCTCCTTAGAACCCCCTGAAGCTTAAATTTTCGCAAAATAAAGTAATCCAACCGTAGAAAATTATCGTACAAATCCTCCACTAAAAAAAGACTAAACCTAAACTCAGCTGAAATTTCTCATAATATTACAAGCGATACGCCACTACAGTGAAGAACAACAGTTATTTAGTACCCCTATAAGTCAGATCAGCAATACGGAATATACATTAGCGCGCTTGTAATTAAAAGAAACCAATATCACAGTGTGCTCACCCAACTCCCTCTACAAAAGTAATTTTAAAATCACTAAATAACGAAACGGTAGACATGAAGGAGTACCAGTAGAACTAAATTTCTAAAAAGATTAATTTCTGGAGATAATAAAATGGAAAATGAATTGGGCGAGCCGAGCACCCAGATCCACCACTGAGAAAGTCAAGTGCAAGTAACATAGCTGCAACAGTGTTGAAGCTCAAAACAGTTCTGGGCGTGCATTTCAAAACTTTAAACTAATACCTTCAAACTTTGAAAAATTGCCTCACTCCCGTGCAAAGTCTATGGCACAGTCTGAAGATCATCAGAAGCCTTTGGATGACCACAACAATCCAGCCCCTCAACAGCATCCTTAAGAGAACCAGCTTTGTAAAATGCATTCTTCCCCCACCTCTGCAAAAAACCAAACTTTCGGGGGCAATTGAATACCCTACTTTTGCTTCACTGTGTCAAATTTCACTGGTTGGCTTCAGGAATCCACAACCCTGTAGTGAGAACGACAACGTCGCGCTTCCTTCAGGTATAAATAAAACTGCTACCTACAAGCCAGTAGTAACCCGTTTATCTGCACTTCATCTATTGCCAGCTGCTGCTATTTTTGCTCATGCCACAAGAAGCAAAAGAGTCATCATCCAAGCGAGACGGAGGGACTGAAATTTAAGAGGCCAAAAAAAATGAGACTGTCAAATGTCGAACATAAGCCCAGACGAACCTAAGCAATCAGAAGCATAATCATATAGGTCACGGCTTGACTCTCAAGTGGTCCTACCCTGCCAAAGAGAAAGCCTAAACACCAATTCATCCAAAACTGGTGCTATGATTACTCAACATGCTGAGCAAAAAATTGGCGTGCACAAGCGGTTGACGCAACAACCGAAAAAAAAAACTCCAACCTCGCTTACCGCCAAACATCAAATCCTGACAAATCTCATCGACGTGGTATGCTTTTGCCAAAAAATTTTGGCAAAGCAAGAAGTTGATCAACTAGTTGCAAACTGACTTGAACGTACTTAAGAAAGAATGAGAAGAGAGTACAAAGCCAACACGAAAATTCACAGGCCAAGGGGGCAATCCTAAATGTTCTTATTTGAATCATATTACTGCGAAATGGCATAAACAACGATATAATTTACTAACAATCGTCGTGTAACTCAGAGATCGTGGTTGCGCTTATAACGAAACCGAAAATAATCGGGAAAGGAATAACGAAATAAAATGCATAATAGGCATATACAAAGTAGAAATTACTAGTTGATCCAGGTATGTACTACGCCATTTTAGCCAGCCACATAGTGCAACTTGAAAAACATAAAAGAAATAGCTTTCATTAAAGAGTCGTCTCAAAATCTAAAAATGGAATGGTACGTCACCCTTTTCGCCCCATTCAATTTGCAAACAAATATGTGCCTAGAAGGTTTAAATCCCCTGATAAAAAGATTAATTTAAGTGTCGTCACAAAAAAAAAACACCCACAAACACAAGAGCGAACAATAACAGATGAATGAAGTGGTTGAAATTGACATGATCAAAAAAACGCATGTAAAAAAATATAAAAAGTAAAAAAAAAAAGATATAGAGGCGACCAGCCCACCGCAACAAATGCAGAAGATATAGCAATATAACCGGGACACTGCTATAATAACTGCGCACACGTCACTAAAGACTTCATATTACTCAGAGGCCCAAAAGTACCGAATGAAATGATAAAAACCTGTCCAGTTCGAGTGACTTATAGAGATTAACACGTATAACACTTTGACATCATACAGTGAGGCAATAACAATAACTGAAATGCACCAATTTCAACTTATTTTACATCCCTTCTGGCCTTTCGACAAAATCGTAGCGAAACCTTTCATGGGCGTTGGGGTCCGGCAAAGAACCCTCGATAATAGCCTAAAAAAGAAAAGCAAAGATGATATGTTTAAACGGTAAACAAAACAATTATTAAAAGATCAAGCAGCAAGTCAAATGCCTGAATAATCCATTCGGAGGAAACAACCAATGCATCACATTTTCGAGCTTGCTGTATTACGTCTTCGGTACACGTTGCATCTGTCAGAAGAATGTCTATTCCATCTGAACGAAAAATATATATCGAGACTAAAGAGGATTAAAAATATTACTCAAGCCTTAATTCAGCTGTGAGATTGTCATGTCACTCAAAACGGTAAAAAATGCTATAGAGAATGAAAGTAGGTACAAACCTTTTGGTATTTCGCTTACAACGGTCGCCCCCATTTCAGCTACTAATGGCGACCATATCTGAACAAAATTAGGGACCGAAGCGTCTGGAATCACATTGCGCGTGTAAATATAAATACGTTTTCCTGACAGCAATGTGTTGTTACTCTGATGCCTGAAGCAACCAAACCACAGGTGGTCTGTATACTAACTACCAGTAAAGAGAGCAAGAATGTGGAAGGGTTGTCATAAAAATCATACCATGGTGTTAGTTTGTTGGTTAATAGGGACACTCCCGCTTGTAACATGTACGGCTTATAGTCTAATAGCTCGCCCTAAAAACTCGAGAAATAACGATCCATCTGATATGAAAGTTCCATAAAGCTGAAAAATATGGCTTTTAACTACTTCCGTAAACGTCTAACCTTCTCGACGCATTCGCGGATCCACCTGTGGCTAACACACGGAACTGATCGTGCTAATGCGGAAAGATATTTGTGTGTCCTGTAGTGAGTGTCGGCTATCAAAAACATTTTGGAGCCAGCAGGGATCTTCTAAAAAGCACGCTTCCTTGACTCGAGATAGAATGAGTGAAAATTGATAGTAAAGTGGAAACCTCATGATTCAAATAAAAGCGTAAAAATAAAAAGATAAAAGAATCTAGAAAGAAAAATTAAAGAAACTGGCACAAAATAGTCCTAAAGGAATTCATTAATCGCAAAGATGTAAAAATTCAGATAAAATTTAAAAGCAAAAAGTTATATTAAAAAAAAAAGAAAAAAAAAAACGAGGCGCTAACTGTAAAATCCTCAACAACGTTGCCGCCGCAGCCTTCAATCATTTGCCTGATTTCTCGTTTGCTGAAACCTCCTTGCTCTTCTTCCTTCATTCTCCGCATAGCAGACGTGACAACGAAGGAAATATTTGCAAATATATCTCCTGCTAAATTTTTATTTAAGCCAGAATACAACAACTGTAGTAGACAATAAATAAAAAGATCCAGTAAAAAAATATCAGTCA